ATCACCTCATTCTTCCATCTGGAGCACGTAACCTCATCTCTCCTATGTGACTGGTTTTTAAGGCCATGCAGACAATTAATGCATGTATTTATGGTCAGCAGTTGTTGTGTTGGCAGTTTTGAATGACAGATTTTGTTCTTATGAAGAAAGCAAACGGTGGACAATTAGGTTTGTAATTATTGCATTCTTCTACTTGGTAAGATCGCTATAATAAAGGGCAACTTAATTGATAAGGGAGGAGGCAAACTTTCCTGTCATAAGAGTTCTGTAACGGAAATGTAAAATCACACTGTAATTTCATAAGAGCTGTAGAAAAACTTCCATTCTTGGGTCATTATGTCTGATTAGGTAATCTTCTTTACCACATCACGAAACACTGAATTACATGAATGAAACCACAAGACATCAACAGAACCAAAGAACAGTCTTTTTAAACGCACTGGTGGTACGGAAGTCCAGAGAGCTGGAACAAGTTCGTCGATACACACTGTCATTGTCAGTGACAGTTTGCAATTACTGTTTGACCATAACAGTCTAATGGAAGATGGTTTTTTTTCATCTTCACTCAAATTCTTTTCTATTTTAAATTTGCAGTCATTGCATTTCTGCGAAACACAATGTGTTAAAATCTGCTGCCACGGAGCAAATATGCTGGCTTTGGTAGTGAACCAGCCCATCCAGGGGACATTATCTGAGGGACAGTTCAATGAAGCTGACGCAGCGCAGAGGAGAGCACTACCTGACTCAGATTAGGGTTATTATTATTATAATTATTTTGGTTCTATCCCGCTTTATGCTCCTTAGCATTGTTCAGCAAGTGGCAAACAGGAAAAACATAAGATGGGAACGTAATCTCCTCTGTCAGGAATGCACCTATGAAGTTCAAGGTGGTGGCTTTTTTTTTTTTAAAAAAAAGTATTCATCCCCATATGGCTCTGGAAATTCTCACGCAAAAAGACCTTGATGAAAAATGATCAGAGATCTTTTCTGGCACAATTAGTGAACTGCTCATGAAAACACACCACGAGATCCGTGTCTGAGAAGGATCCATCCCCACAAGACACAGAGTTTGTCCAGATACGGAAGCCATGCCGACTTCACCACGAGTTCAAATTTTTATTCCTATTCGTGCTAGCAAGACGACTTGAGTGATAATTTTCACTCCAAAGTAAGGCTGTATTTGGAGTCTAGCTTACATAATCCCATAATTAACTTTCAAGTGACAGAAACCAACAAACCCAAGGCTCCCGTTTCCTGCTCTGATGCTGCTGGCTCCAACCCGGACCCCCTGCCCGTGAGCCCAGAGCCACAGGAAGGCTCCCGGCAAAAACACCAACCCGTAACAGACAGCAGCAGCAGCAGCCGCCTGACGTCCAACGCTTCTAATTCTCTTTTTTCCTCCCCCCGTGTACTAACATCACTCCCCACTCTGGCGGCCGCTGCTCTGCCCTGCTCGGCCAGTCTCAACAAAACAAAAATTTTTTAAAAATTAGTTTTTTCCCCACTGTTTCCCGCTACGACGGTGACGGTGAAGAGACAGCCAGGCGGGCCAACAGCCGAGAGCCCAGCGCGCTGTCACCGGGTCCCCGCTCCGACCGCCCGGGGCC